GTATGTACATTTTGGTACATACATTTCGGTATTGATATTTACGTACATTAATTCAATATAATACATTTCGGTACATGCATTTAGGTTCATTATAATATATTTCGGTACAATCATGTAGGTACAAATATTTCGGTACAAAAAAATCAATTTTATATATTTTTGTATCACAAATGTCTTTTAATATTTTCTCATTTACGTTCATTTATAGTTAAAAATAAATAAATATGTGCATATTAATAAAATTAAAATTTAATATGGAGAGATTAAATAAAAATACACATTAAATAACAAAAATTGAATGTAAATTTTGATAAAAGCACTCTTCAAGGGATTAAATTGAATATTTAATCTAGCACCAGGTTTTTTTTTTTTTAATTTTAATCTTAATCTTTTGCAAGGACTAATGTTCAAAAACCCCTAAATAAAACATCAAAATATAACTAATAAATGATATGATTAAATGTACTAGGGACTAAAATTGGATTTTAATCTTACACAAAGTTAATTAAAGTCTAAAACTCATTTTTTTTTAAGAATTAAAATGAAGTTTTCTAAAAAAAAAAACCCAACTGAATCAGTTTTGGTTTCAAGGGTTTGGAAACCTAGCCCAATATAAAACACGGTTAAAACGACGTGGTTTATGTAGTTGTCAACCCTAAGTCTATCGAGTTATCAGGTGCCTGTATCGATCTGCTGAGCTCTAGTCTCACTGCTGCTCTCACTGAAACCGAAACCATTCAAGTAAATCTAGTAATCAAATAAGGCACTAAACTTTTCAACCAAAACTTTTCAACCATACAATTGTTTAATAATCAAAGGTTGCTAATTGTTTTTAAAAATATTGAAATATTGAAATATTTATTTCAGAAAAGAAAAAAAACCAAACCAAACTGAAGTCAAATTTTCAGTTTCGACAAAAAACCCAACAGAATGGAACCGAACTCACCCCTAGCAAAAAGAAAATTTTCTCTTTTTTTCTTTATTTTTTTTATTTTTTTGCAAGCATATAAATTAAATAAACCATTTTTTTTCTTTTATACAGAATGTTAAAAATTCCACATTGGAAAGTTGATAAACAAATTCCAAAATATGGTTCCACTCATAATTACACAGTGACTTTTTAGGATAAAATTCCTTTTGTGTTGGACTACATCTAGCAAGTAGTTAAGTTAGAAGTAATATCGATGTTAAATCATTGTGCATACGTCTCTCTGAAATGTTGATACAAAATCTTTTGAGAACTTATTTTGTATTGTCATAGTGCAAACGTTTAAAGAATTCATATAGGAGTTAATCAACTTGATCAATAGTCCATGTTCATGTTCATGGTATACGTGTAAGTACACATATATATGTTTATATATGATCGGTTGACAAAGTCGAGGCTTCTAAAGTACTTGTCTTCTTCTTCTTTTTTTTTTTTTTTTTTTTTTTTTGGTTGGTTTTAGGCACGAGGAAAATTAACCCTGAATATTTTATCATCCACGTCAAGCTAAGGAAAATTAAACTTTTTTATGTTGTTCTTTCTAGATTACTGGAAATTTATATAATATAGTTAGTCCAGTGCCAAGTCTTTCTATGTTGGCTAAAAAGAAAAGGAAAGAAATGATGACACTCTACGACTAACTAGGAGGAATGGGAGTGGGGGTTTGATACTGGAAAATAATTTTAAACCAAGATAAATGCTAATGAAATTTTCTTTAATTGAAACTCTTTATAAATTCTTTGTAAACTTGTATTTTTTTGTTAAAATATAATATATTGTGCCAAATTATAAGGTGATTACAGAAAGTCTAAAGAGTCATTTTTAAGAGAGTTCTTTTGATATTTCTCCCAGATCAATATCAATGAAATTGATGGTATGAGCATAAAGGGTAAAGCTAAAAGTCAGATTACGAAACTAAAGTTCATCTCATCGGAACCGGATCCCTTTCTGTCCGTCTCCTTAGCAAATCACACGGGCTATTGAAATTTGATCCAACGGTTGTAATTATTATAACTTTTAGAAGAACTTTCTTTTTATAATTTCAACAATCCAAATCCTTTACATCCGGTTCCCATCTCATCATCTGTAAAAACAGGACAGCAAAAATCTTTGTCAGTCCGCGAGAATTAAGACAGTTTTAATAATAAGATAAGAAGATTCAAAGTCACTTCCCTTCCCGAGAGTCAGGGTGTGATCAATGACGGCATGAGATGAGACTTTTCCCTCTTTTATAAAAAAAATTATCTTCAATCATCAAAAGATGAGTGTGAATTTGATGTCGAAATCAAGGATCGCACATCGCTAAATTTTTATTTTTATTCTTTTAAAAGCTACAAATTAGATTTTCTACGTATTTTTAAGCCACATATCTGTTTGTTGTATTCAATTATGCACCTAAGGAGATTAATAAGATTTTAATATAAATAGTGGCAATTATATATCTTGATGTGTAAGTATAAATTTGAGACAGATATAAATTTGTTACCTTCACCGTAAATATTGTATAACATTAGAATTCTGTATTATAGGTAATGTTATGTTCATGTACCATTGAAAACGTAACATGCAATAATCAAAACATACAATTTTATAAATACATGCATAATCAGGTTCTTTAAGTAAAGAGATTTACATTTTGTTTTTAAACTTTAACGATCCAAATTGTTTATTTGCTACGTCTCGACTCATAGATCAGTTTTACGAAAATTCAATTTAACTTGAAATCATTCCTCATTTAACTCTAACGATGAAATTTAAATATTTCTTATAACATAATATTCATCAAATCTTTGAACTCCATCAGATGCCTTAAATATTAGCAGTTTGACTAATATTTTGTAAGGATGACCTATAAAGCGCAACTTCAAAAAATAGGCAGATTGGATCGTTGAAGTTCGATGTATTGTGGACCTCATAATTAATTGCTACCTAAAAAAAAAATAGATAGGACCAAAAATAGAAAAATTGTAACCAAAACTATTAAACTATTATTGACTCATCACTAAAATAGAAAGCTCTGTTTTTCAAAAAAAAAAGAAAAAAAAAAGAAATTAAGTCTGTTTATGAGGAAGAATGGTCAAAATTCTAAATTTGACTTCAGGGTTTCATTTTTCTATTTTCCAAATGGAAAGGGAAATGGAGAAAAGATAGAGAAGCCAATCCTTTTAGTCAAAGGTATCAGTTTTTCTCACTATGCTGATCATCTTATTTCTAATCGTTAGACGAATTTAAATTTTGAGATACGTGGAGTGAATATACATAAATTTTAAAATTTAAACTTATTTAACAGTAATAAATAAGGTGGTAAGTATCATCATCACTTAAGGGTGATGAGCAAAAATATTTCTCTTACTGAAATGCTTATTCATTCAATACAACAGAACCCTTGTCTTCCTCGCATAGTTGAGCTTTGAAACACCTTTGTCGCCGCCATCACTGGCGGAGGCACATGAGGATTAGAGTAGTCCTAGGCGTACCCTAATTTTAAAAAACAAGATTAGTATTATACTTATTTATTGCTTTGCAACCCTTCTCAGAATCTCAACACTTAACACAAAAATCCAATCATTTATCTATCTTTTCATCCAAATCTCATCCCAAAATTAAGTATAATATATCAAATAGTCATTATCACGAACCAATGACATTAAATTAAAACCCATTATTCACTTTTAATTAAAAAAATTGTCTTTCACTTATGCACTAGCAGAGCTATTCCCCCTATTCTTCTTGAATTTCATATAGGTAGCCATTCCAAATCCCAAATTTATTGAATAAAGAACAATAGGGTTTGTGAAACTCCATTATTCTCTATAAAATATTTGTTTCTATTCTATCCTACCACTTCCTTGAGTTTTAGGGTTTGCAAAATTTTTAGTAATGTTCTCTATTGAGTTTAATAATACTTCAAGTAGTATAGATGACATCATGCAATGGTTTCAAAATATGAAACTCATCGAGAATAATTATAATTACTATAAATAGATAAAATTATCTATGCATATGTTAATTTTGACTACTTAATTATTTCGATATATGTTATGATGTTTTGCATTAGTAAGTTTATAATCACTATTGGTTTAGTTTTCTTCTATACTTGTCTGAGGCCCCTCCTCACAATAAATCCTTGCTCCGCCATTGGCCGCACTTGGGCTAAACCCTAAACTTGTAACATATAAGTAGGTCTGTCCTCATTCTGCTTCTAACTTTTTCTACGTAACACAGTTAGAACCGATTTTGGTGATCTAAAAGTACTTTTACTTATTAAAAGCACTTTCAAACATACGATTTTTCTAGGTATAACATTCTTAGCAAAATTCCATAACCAAATACATACATGATCAAATGTATGACCTAGACTATCAGAGTCATCTGGTGATGATCGTTCCTATTATCCATTTTGTGGATTTTTCATCTGTGACATTTAGCTCAAGTCATTATCGCCTTGGCATAAACCTGGGAGCTGGAGTTAAACGGTTCATATTAAATGCGATGTTTAACATTATTAGTATCGATGAAAATATTGATATGTATATTTGGAGAAATATCGACGGATATATCGAATATTGATATCGGTTTGGACGTAATATAACTTTAGGGATTATCAAACCTTGGTTTGGACGAAATATAAGAGTTTATTCAATGTTTTACAGATGTGTCAGTAATATGAACGATATATGTCGATGTTAGCCTAAACTTAAGAGTTTCCCTGACATGAAGTGAAGTTCAAACTTCACCCCCTATTTTCATATCTTTCTATGATTTTTTAGATATTTCTATGTAAATATCGATCGTATCAAAAGAAATTTTAAACAATGATTAAATGTTGATTCTTTTTTAATCAATAAGGATGGGCTAATTTATTAACTAACATTTTGGGTCAAAAACCCCAAAACGAGCTAATTTATTAACTTCATGGGCTTTTAACAGAAATTTGGACTTTGCAGAATCAGGCCCAAATAATATCGGTTTTTCTCGGGTTGGTTTCGGGACGTCGAGACACGCTACGCAGATAATCCATGAGGGAGGAGTGATATTTTCTTACAGTCACCTGTAAATCAACGATATCCGTTTTCAAGCAAGCACCTTTCTTCTTCTAACTGCCATGGATTCCGCTTCGTGCTCAATTCTCCAAGCTCAGCCCTTTTCTTCAGCCGCGGCCGTTTTCCCGCCAAGTAACAACACCACCGCCCGCTTCTTCGCCCTCCCGAAGAGCAACCGCAACTCCAACTTGGTCCCTCCATTTTCCTCCACTTTCACAAGAAACTCAACTTTTCCCGGAAAATGTCTGCACTTCGATCGGTTCTCCGCATTCAGCTCGCTCTCCGGCGCTCAGGACCAGAACCCATCTCAGGAACTGGCTGTTCTTCTCGAAGTCGACGGGTAGGACGATTTCTTTCCCCTTTTTACTCCAAGCATTTCGATTAATTTGTTTTTTTCTTTTCACATTTTCTTGCTTCTTTGATTTCGTTTTCGTGTTTTGGTGGTTCCTTTGATTTATTGCTGCAATTGGAGTTGGGTTTTCTCGGATACCTTTTTCTTGATGATTCTCTTTGTTTCTTTCAGGGTTCTTATGGATGCTTATCGGTTGGGGAACCGCCAAAGCTTCAATGCAGGTGTGGAAATGCAGTAATTTAATCCTAATGTCTTAAGTCTTTTTGATTAAATTGTGTTTTTATGTGTTAATCTCACTGTATTATCTTGTGATATATTGGCAGCATTTAAGAAGCTTGGACTTGACTGTGCAAGTTGGCCAGAGCCTGTTTACTTGGACCTCCTAAGGTAGGAAATTAAAATTATGAGTAAAGATCATGAATTTAGATTATTTATTTGGTTTCTTGTTCTTTAAGTTATTTATTTGGTTGCTTTTTCTTTAAGTTATTTAGTAGGCTTGAAATCATGATTCATGACTTTGCTTCAATCAGTATGAGTCAATTGAATTACATTTCCAAATGTGTATCTGGGTCGTAAGAGTTTTTTGATGTGGAAATCACAAGATTTGGACCCAGATTACTTGTTCCCTTTACAGACATGCTTTGCCTTATTTTCCTCATATTTAGTTTTGAAAAAAGTGTGAAAGCATCTGGATAAAGCTTTTATCAGTTTTTATACCAAAGGTTCTTAGATACAGTTTATGTTAATCTTTCAGGATGAGTGCTGGTGATGAGGAAAAGATGGTGAATTTGTATTTTAATCGGGTGTGTTACTCTTTTGTTGTCTTTGAAAAGTATGAATAGCTTGAAGTAGCTCTTTGAAACTTCCTTCGTTATGTATCTTTTTCTTCTGACTCTACTATAATCTGTCCTGCAGATTGGTTGGCCTAGTTCATTGCCGACAAGTGAGAAGGCGTCATTTGTGAAAAATGTTCTGCAAAAGAAGGTACGGTCTTATTCAGTGCTTAAGTTAGGTTTTAGGGATACAGGTCTAGACTTAGGTCATTCGTACAAGGCTTAAATTATTATTAATTAATTAATTATACTTGGCTGCATGGATTAGTTGTGCTGGTTTGATAAGATTATGATCAATGATTGTTTCAAAGCTTAATGTCCAGCATTGCATCGGAAAATAGGATATACGCAAAAGGAAATGTTATAGTCTTTGAATCAATATATTTTGATCATATAGTTATTTATACTGAGGAATAAAAAAAAGGAAAAATTTATAATTCCAGGGTCAATTAGGAATCTTCTTTCGGTTAAACACTGTAAACTGCTTGTATATTTTTCCAGGGTGGGTGAGCAGGCTGATTTAAAAACAACAGAACTTTTTCATTATTTTCCGCTTGAAGCTACAAAAGATAACTATCGTTTTTACACAAAAGATATAGCTGCTTATGTGATGTAATTGCAAACTCATTTCACTTGTTACTTTGATAGCTTATTAATTATTATTTTATATCTTACAGTACAAGGTAAAAGTGTAAAACACATTAATGAACACGAGAGGTCTTAATAAATATCCTTTTAGCTCTCCCATTATTTTATTTTCCACTTGTACAATGAAAGTAGCTAATATGAGTTTGTTCTTGACAGAAAATTGCAATGGATGAGTTTTTGATGTCAGAAAGTTTGACGTTACGACCTGGAGTTGAAGAGTGAGTTTCTGATCTGATTACAGCAAACTTACTTGGATGATTACACAATCTTTTAGCTCTCAAAAATACCGAGTCTAAATTTCTGCTTTACATTTTTACCTTCTTCAAATATGAATAGCTTAGACCAAAACCATGTCAAAACCTCTTTATCAGTACTCATTTAGTCATTCTTGGCTTCTACTATACTTTTCTACCAACATTTGGAAATTTTGCTGAAGTCTTGCCAGGGAAATGATGTCAAATCGAAGCTAGCTTGCTACCTATGTATCAAGGCGCTGTTATTTTATGTCAAGATTACCAGACTTTGTTCTCAAAAGTTTTGGCTTAGAGTGGGCCTGCTGGGAGTTTATTCTTGATAAATATTCAGAAGTCTATTGGTTAGATGAACTAATGATCCACAATCTATAGGAAGCTATAAGTGATTAACCAAAATAATCAGTTGGCTTTTAGTGAGATTTCATATGCATGTCAATGCCATGTTTAGTTAGACTCATTTTCTCCTTTCCATTTGCAGGTTTATTGATGAGGCGTACAAGGAGGGAATACCTGTGGTCGTACTGACAACTTATAGTAAGAGTGGGGATCAAATTGGCAGGTATTAACATACGTTTTTGTTGTGTTAAGTTTCCAGACAGTTACCAACCTAAGTTTCATTAGCTCTTTTTTTTTTTTTTTTTTTTTTTTTCTGCAAGTTACATTCTGTAATTAAGTACAAATAGACAGGAAATGATTAGTTTTTTTATTATGATTTTAGTTTCCGTTTCTGAATGGGTTGAATACTTTCTACTGCTTTAAAATACTGTGACACATTTCTCCTCTTTCAATGTGCTTCTGGTGCTATTCTGATTAAAAAATCGCATTTCTGGTACTCCGTCAATGGTAGAGGACTACGCTGATACCTATTTGTCTCGTTGTAAATGTCAGATCAATTGTTGAAAAGCTTGGTCAGGAAAGAGTTTCAAAGCTAAAGATTGTTGGAGATAAGGAGGTAGAACAGAGTTTGTATAGCCAACTGGTAAATGATACAGGAATATCTTCTGGAATGGATGAGCAACTAGCTAAGGAGGCAATAAAATCAGGTAGACTCTTCATCTTCGTTAATTAGTCATGTATATGTTTTGTGATATACATTTTTCCAGTGCAGAAGGTTGGGTACTAAAGGGCTCTGTTATTGATTTCTGGGGCAGTTTCTGCTGAGAAGCAAAGGATTGCAGAGGAGGTTGCATCATTGCTAAAGCTGAGTGTAGATATTGATACTAGCCCGTCTGAAAGGTTAGCATATTTCATTTCGTTTTATTGTTTGTTGTTGTTAATTCGGCCCCATCAGAGTTGGTTTGTGTCTGCCTATTATTTTTGTTTTAGGGTTGTTATGATGTTCAGGGTTTAAGAGAAACTTGTGATTACATTAGACCAGGAAGAGATTATATACCAATTTGAACCGTTTGTGCGGTTATGCATGTATGATTCAGCACTCAACTTAAAGTGTGATATCATATATCTAGTGTTTAATCCTTTGCTGTTATGGTACAAGTTCCTCTCCTTCTTTTCTTAGCTGTTGCATTGACTTTTCTTGATCTCAAGTTTAGTGTTTCAGTGTCATATAGTCTATTTGTTCTCATACTCTTTATGAGTGAGTAGTAATGTGTGCCTAAGTGACTCTTTAATTGTTTTCTGCCAGCTTAGAGAAGATCATTGCTGCATTGCGAGCTGGGGCTGAAGTTGCCGGTCTACCTGTATGCGATTGTGTTCTTATTGCAGGAAGCCAGTCTGGTGTGGCTGGAGCTGAGCGAGTGGGCATGCCGTGTGTTGTTTTAAGAAGCAGGTGAAGGCTTTTTTGAGTTGCTTGGAACAAACTCCTGCCAGTTTACAACTTCTTTAAATCCTTGTTATTGAATCAAGTTTTTTCGTGTATTTCTGTAGTTTGACGGCTAGAGCTGAGTTCCCTTCAGCAAATGCGATAATGGATGGGTTTGGAGGAGCAGACCTGACCATCCCTAAACTGCGAAACAAGAGACGGTTATGAAATCAAATCATGTTCCTCCTTTTGCCGGACTATTTGCAGAGCTGTAAATTTTTCTTTCCATTGTGGATACACCGGAAGATTCATCTCCCATAGAGTGATCTGTCAAAGTTAGAACAGAACTAGAGCTGTTAATCTGATGCAGTATAGTTTCTTCAGCTTAGAGCTGCTTTGTAACATTTTTAAGCCACAGTTTGCAATATAAGAGTATGAAGTCAACTTTTATAATCTACAAGTCAATTTGTACTCGAGTGAACGGGAGAATGCTCTTAACCAATTTGGCTACAAGGAAGACAAATTAAAGTACTAACAAGAAATAAAACGGGACTAGAACAAATTAAAGTACTAATCCTAATTGATTCCAATCAATCAATCACATTGGCCACAACAAGAAAATTGGGAATAAATTAAGTTAAATGTAAGATAAGGGCTAATCCGTTGCGTACTTAAGTAGCTTTCATTAAACCTTTTTTTTTTATTTTTTTGGTCGAAAGAAAGATTTTATTAAACTCGAATAAAAACGTTTACATCAGAAGCCAAAGTGTTCAACAATCATTCTGGCTCAAATGAATCCTATGTATGAAATCCTCCCATACATAAGACAAAAGACGCCACTAGATGTGCTGCTTGATTACAAGCCTGGGGAGCAAGAATAAAATCTACTGACCTCAATTGCATTTGTATACACTAAATGTATATAAAAAAAACCTTCAATCTCGACGTTTGGTTGAGTGATTCCGCTGATCATATCTACAAGTTCTTTTTAATCTGATTCCACCTGGACAACATCAAACCCTTTATCCACTCACGCCACTAATCCTGCACGTATTGCCTCCGCCTCCGCCATAAGACTGGACTCACAAAGAATGTTACCCACACCTTATGAGGCTTTAAAAATTATAGCAAAATTCCATGCCACCCAACCATATCCTCCCAGTCCCTTATGAGGCTTTAAAAATTATAGCAAAATTCCATGCCACCCAACCATATCCTCCCAGTCCCGTTTCTCTAACCCAAGCTCCACAATTAATTTTAATTGTACGAAATGGAGGCCGCTACCAACACGATGGCAACGCACTCTCGACCCTAGCCTGCCAATGCCCTACCTCCATTCGTAAACCTTGTTCCCCTTGGCTCTACCTCCCTCCATTGTTGTTGTAACATCCTAACAGCTTCAATTGGTTGAACAACATGCTTCTCCAAAACCAAACTATTCCTGCATTTTCAAAGTCTCCATAATCCACACACCACCCATCTCATTATTTTCCCATTTTCTTCAACATTCTCATACCGATTGGATAACCACTTCCATTTTTTTGAAAAAATCCTCTCCCTGAACCAAAGTCGAGTCTAGTTGGAGTGGACTCCCAAACCAAAACACCCGAGCATATGGGCAATGGAAAAATAAATGGTCTTGTGTTTCCATCGCATCCTCACAATTTGAGCATGTAGTATCGAGTAGAATTATCCACCAGTTAAGGTTAAAGTGAACCGCTAACATATTTTTACAGCACCTCCAAATAAAATGCTGGAGTTTATGTGGAACCTCCAAACGCCAAATAGAAGACCACACCTTATCCTTATTTTACCCTGCACTTTGACTCCCCAACTCCCTTCCGCCCTAGCTCCCCATTGCGATTAAGTTCTTGAGCAATCCAATAACCGGGCTTAAACATAATACACCCCAATCTTCGTACGGTGCCAAACAAGTTTATCCAGACATACCCAAGTATTTTCTTCTTCGATGCTCCAAAGTCAGCGTGAAGACCCAAGTATTTTCCAAATCCACAGACAAAAAGTATCATCAAAACCTAATTTACGCATCATAGCATTAAAAAATGCCCACTCAACACGATCATAAACTTTCGCCATATCAAGCTTTAGCGCCATATTATTAGTTCCATCATCATCTTCTTGTTTCATAGAATGGAGGAGCTCATGCACAAGAAAAGAGGATTTCTTCAACATAATTTGGTTTGTCATCCAAGTCGATGGTAGCCATAACCGCCAAAATCTTAAGAGACTGCACAAAAAAAGGGATATATAAAACTACATTAATGAAACTCTATTTGTCAACTAAAAAATGGTGAAAAGCTTAACAAAAAAGTTAAGGATAGTAAAGTAATTTTATAAAACAATATTTTGCTTTTTTTTTCTTCTAAACTTCATCTACATGTAAATTTATCATCTCTAATTTTAAAAAATAAAATAAAAAGCAACCTCTCTCTCCTTACTCCCACGTTCTCTCTCACTCTCTTTCTCTCTCCTTCAATTTTAACAACCAAAGTAAAAAATTTCACACACTTTGTATGTGGGCATATCCTAGTGTGTGTGTATAAAGTTTCACAGGTACGTAATTTTCTTTCATTTCTAATACAACGTTATTATTTACGCTTAGAGGTGGCGGGATTTTTTGGCTAAGCTACATAGTGACCAAGCCATAATAAATTAGTATCAAACTCGTCATCCACATAAATCGAACCTAAGAATTCTCACTTAAAGAAAGAAAAAATGTTAATGTACTGTACTGGGTGTCCTCAAATAAGTAATTAAGTAATAATATATAATCATTATATAATTCATTTAATAATTTAATAAACTGAAACACATAAAAACCTGACTACATAGAGTTTGGTCTCTAACAAAAGTTAACCCTATAATTGCTCAATACACTATCCAATAGTCTCTAATAAAGGTTAATTAATCAGTGATTTGAACATATACGTCATAAAAACCAACAAGCTGCTAGAAGACCGTTTCTAATGTGAAAATTCCAGTTACTTCTATGCATTCAATCATGCAGATGAATTTCCAACGAGGATGTAATTGCTAAGAATTCTGTATGCCTTGAGAAGCAAGTAACAAAATCCCATCCTTGACGAAATTCACGCATGGAAGAAAGGATGCAGGCACGAAGAGACGTAACAAATCTTTCTTCTGGGTTTAGTGACTTCACCATCACTGTATTGTCTTCAAACTTATAATTAACACTTTGGGTCAAAATCCCCAAAAACGAGCTTGAACTTCATGGGAACTATCACGGTTAACAATTGGAGACAACTTCCAGGCTCGTATTCCATGAGATGCATTTTGGATTCAATTTTTTGCGCTAGTCAATCACACGATGTGGCCGGAAAAATGCTGAAATGCCTTTGTGAGTCTTTCCGTTCTCCAATGGTGGACTGTGAGGCCATCAAGCTGGTGCTTTTAAAAAAAAAAAATTAATTAATTAATTTAAAAAAAAAAATTGAACTTCAAGGGCTTTTAACAGAAATTGGACATGCCGGATCACCCCCATATTATTTCGGGTTTTTTCTCGGGTTGGTTTCGGGTCGCGAGGAGACGCGAGGTAGAAAATCCAGGAAGGGTATATGTGTCATTTCACGAATAACCGCCATTATTCTGCTATAAAAGCTGATTTTTTCTTCCAGTCAGCTGCAAATCAACAATAACCGTTTTCAAGCAAGCACCTTTCTTCTTCTAACCGCCATGGATTCCGCTTCGCGCTCAATTCTCCGAGCTCAGCCCTTTTCTTCTACCGCCGCCATTTTCCTGTCAAGTAACAACACCACCGCTCGCTTCCTCGCCCTCCCGAAGACCAACCGCAACCCCAACTTGGTCCGTCCATTTTCCTCCACTTTCCCAAGAAACTCAACTTTTCCCGGAAAATGTCTGCACTTCGATCGGTTCGCCGCATTCAGCTCGCTCTCCGGCGCTAAGGACCAGAACCCATCTCAGGAACTGGCTGTTCTTCTCGAAGTTGACGGGTAGGACGATTTCTTTCCCCTTCTTACTCCAAGCATTTCGATTAATTTGTTTTTTTTTCTTTTCACATTTTCTTGCTTCTTTGATTGCGTTTTCGTGTTTTCGTGGTTTCTTTGAAGCAATCTGTTGCTGCATTGTTCGAATTGGAGTTGGGTTTTCTCGGAAACATTTTTTTTTGAAGATTCCCTTCGTTTCTTTCAGGGTTCTTATGGATGCTTATCAGTTGGGGAACTGCGAAAGCTTCAATGCAGGTGTGAAAATGCAGTAATTTAATCCTAATGTATTAAGTATTCTTGATCAATTTGCATTTTGTGTGTTAATCTCACTGTATTATCTTGTGATATATTGGCAGCATTTAAGAAGGTTGGACTTGGCTATGAATATTGGACAGAGCCTCTTTACTTGGGCCTCCTAAGGTAGGAAATTAAAATTATGAGTAAAGATTCATGACTTTAGATTATTCATTTGGTTTCTTGTTCTTTAAGTTATTTATTTGGTTTTTTTTTCTTTAAGTTATTTAGTATGCTTGAAATCGTGATTCATGAGTTTGGTTCAGTCAAGTTTGAGTCAAGTTTGGTTCAGTCAAGGTGGTAAAAGTTTTTCGATGTGGAAAGTCACAAGATTGTGACCCAGATTACTTGTTCGCTTTACACAAAGTGTGTAAACATCAGGATTAAGGTTTTATCAATTTTAATACCTTAAATGCAGTTTATGTTAATCTTTCAGGACAAGTGCTGGTGATGAGGAAAAGATGCTGAATTTGTATTTTAATGCGGTGTGTTTACTCTTTTGTTGTCTTTGAAAAGTATGATTAGCTTGAAGTAGCTCTTTGAAATTTTCCTTTGTTATGTATCTTTTTCTTCTGACTCTACTATAATCTGTCTTGCAGATTGGTTGGCCTAGTTCATTGCAACCAAGTCAGGTGGATTTATTTGTGAAAAATGTTCTGCAAAAGAAGGTACGGTCTTATTCAGTGCTTAAGTTAGGCTTTGGGGATGCATCTCAACATTTATATCTGATCGTACCACGGAGATACAGGTCCTTTGCACAAAAATTATTAGTATTTGGGGCTGCATGGATAGTTTTGCTGCATCGGAAAATAGGATATACACAAAAAGAAATGTTAGTCTTTGTTGCAGATATATTTTGTTCATGTAGTTATGTATACCGAGAAACAAAAACAAGGAAGAATTTATAATTCCAGGGCTAATGAGGAATCTGCTTTCGGTTAATCACTATATTAAGAGAACTGTTTGTATATTTTTCCTCTTGAAGCTATCTATGAAAATTATCATTTTTACCCAAAATAAATAGCTGCTTATCTGAGATATTTGCAAACTTTGGTAGCTTATTATTTTTATTTTTGGTAAAAATATCGCTCATCTTTTATATCTTACAATATAAGGAAAAAGTGTAAAACACATTAATGAATGGGAGAGGAATTAATAAATATGTAATTAACACATGCTGAGCTTCAAATTTACCGTCTTTGACAGAAAATTGCAATGGATGAGTTTCTGATGTCAGAAAGTTTGACTTTACGACCTGGAGTTGAAGAGTGAGTTTCTGATAACAGAAAATTTACTTGGATGATTACACAACCTTTTAGCTCTCAAATATACCGAGTCTAAATTTCTGCTTGATATTTTTAATTTTACCTTATGAATAGCTTAGACCAAAACCATGTGCAAAACCTCTTTATCAGTGCTTAGACATTCTTGGCTTCAGCTATATTTTCGGAATTTCCGAAATTTGGAAATAGCTTGAAGCAATATATAGAACTTGGGTATGGATATTTTTCACCAATACCAACATTTGGAGATTCTGCTGAAGTGTTGCCAAAGAAATGATGTGAAATCGAAGCTAGCTTGCATTTATTTATGTCAAATATACCAGACTTTTTACAGAAGTTTTGACTTGGACTGGGCCTTAGGCATGCTGGAAGTTTATTCTTGATAATGTTCAGAAGTCTATTGGTTGCGAGTCTAGATGAACTGATGATCCATGGACAAACAAAAACAAACGGACTAGAATTAATCAGTTGACTTTTTGTGTGATTTCATATGTGAATATTCTGTTTCTCCATTGTTTCCAACAGTTAGACTCATTTTCTCCTTTCCATTTGCAGGTTTATTGATGATGCATACAAGGAAGGAATACCTGTTGTCGTACTGACAACATATAGCAAGAGTGAGAATCATATTACCAGGTAAGTTTCCAGACAGTTACCAACATACTCTGGGTTTTGGAGACATTAGAATGCGAGTTTCATTAGCTCTAATGCGAGTTTCATTAGACAGGAATGGGTTGAATACTTTCTACTGCTTTATAAAATACTGTGATGCATTTCTGGTACTCCATTGATGGTAGAGGACGAAGCTAATATCTATTTTTTTTTTTGTAAATGTCAGATCAATTGTTGAAAAGCTTGGCGAGGAAAGAGTTTCAAAGCTAAAGATTGTCGATGATGACGAGGTGTTACAGAGTTTGTATAACCAACTGGTAAATGATACAGGATTCTCTTCTCGTATGGATGAGAAACAAGCTAAGGACGTAATAAAAGCAGGTAGACTCTTCATCTTCGTTAATTAGTCATGTATATGTTTTGTGATATACATTTTTCCAGTGCAGAAGGTTGGGTACTAAAGGGCTCTGTTATTGATTTATGGGCCAGTTTCTGCTGAGAAACAAAGGATTGCAAAGGAGGTTGCATTAATGCTAAAGCTGACTTTAGATATTAATACTTGCCGGTCTGAAAGGTTAGTATATTTCATTTCGTTTTATTGTTTGTTATTGTTAATTCGACACCTTCAGAATTGGTTTGTCAGGTTTATGGGTTTTCTGATGTTACATTAGACTAGGAAGAGATTATATACCAATTTTTAGACTAGGAAGAGTTATATACCAATTTGTACCATTGATTCAGCACTCAACTTAAAGAGCGATTTCATATATCTAGTATTTAATCCTTTGCTGCTGTGGTCAGAAAATGCTTGTGCAAGTTCTTCTCCTCCTTTTCTTAGCTGTGACATTGAATTTTCTTGATCTCAGTGTTAGTCTTTCTCATACTCTATGAATGTGTAGAGTAATTAATATATTGTCTAATTGTTTTCTGCCAGCTTAGAGAAGATCATTCTTGCATTGCGAGCTGGGGCAGAAGTTGCTGGACTACCTGTATGCGATTGTGTTCTTATTTCAGGAAGCCAGTATGGTGTGGCTGGAGCTGAGCGAGTGGGCATGCCATGTGTTGTTTTAAGAAGCAGGTGAAGGCTTTTTCGCCCCATGTGTTGTTTTAACAACAGTGTCATACTTTTTTGAATTGCTCAGAACAAATTCCTGCCAGTTTACAATTTCTTTAAACACTTATTGTTTTTTCGTGTAGTTTGACGGCCAGAGCTGAGTTCCCTTGGGCAAATAGGATAATGGATGGGTTTGGAGGGGCAGACCTGACCATCCCTAAACTGCTCAACAAGAGATGGTCATGAAATCAAATCATGTTCCTCAACTGCGCAACAAGAGACGGTCATGAAATCAAATCATGTTCCTCTTTTTGCCAGACTATTAGCAGATTCATCTCCCGTAGAGGGTTCTTTCAAATCATGAAATCAAATCATGTTCCTCTTAAGTAAATTTTTCTTTCCATTGGGGATACGCCGGAAGATTCATCTCCCGTAAATTTTTCTTTCCATTGTGTATATATTTTCTTTCAAAGTTTCAACAGAATTAGCAGAGCTGTAAATTTTTCTTTCCATTGTGTATATATTTTCTTCGGCTTAGTTGGCTGCATTGTAACACTTTCAAGCCACTGTTTGCAACTTAATGCTTACCTTCAGCTTAATTGATCAAAAAACTTTGTGGGAGTCCGAAAATTGAGAGAGCCACATTTGGTGATCCGTTAAGGTAAATGTAAGATAAGAGTTGATCCCTTATACTACATAAGTAGCTTTCACGACATGTTTTTGAGTCTTTGAAGAAACCTAATTTGGAGTTAATTCTCAATAAGAAAATATACTCTTAAGAAAATTAAACTCGCTAAATTAATAATACATACATTTTGCCAACTTCTCGAGGGAAGACTATCTTCGATCAGTTTCTTCCAGTAAACAAGAAAATAGAATTTCTTCACCATAATTTGGTTTTTTCAGGATTCCCTTGCATTTTTAGTAAAGATTCGTTCCAAAAACAGATTCACAAAAAGCGCTTTCAATCATTTTAAAGCAGTTTCAAACGAGCCCTAAGTTGTTCTCAATGATTATAGCCTGTGAATTGCTCTCGGAACAGAAGAGAAGACGCTTCTTGCACCATTGCGTTAAACGCTTCTTGCGCCATTGTCTACTCTTCCTTTTTGCTCCACCACATTTCTGGCAAAGTTGTCCAAATCTTTCACCATTGCGTTAAATGCTTTCTGGTTCAACTCTAAACTAACCTTTATAGTTGATAACCTTTATAGTTAAAATCCCCGCCTAAAGCCGTCTAGGCCCCTCCTAGGCGCTAGGTGACTAGCCACTGCCCCAATTAATGCCTAGACATATGAAAATTAAGAAATGACGGTTAGACCTGTTGAGGCGCCCGCCTAGACCTCCTAAACACCCGTCTTAACCCAGCTAGACCCGCCTAGGCACCTGTCTAGGTTGCGACTCACTTAGACAGAAAATAGATAACTCTCATTTTGCGTTTTATTTTTTTTCAATAAATTGTAAGAGATTTGTTGAATACTTAAATGAACACTCATTATATGCTTGTTCCCCCATATGTTTTCATTATATTCCAATACTTCATAATATATATATATATATCATTTTATTTTGAAGTTTATGATGAAATTATATATATTTTAAGTATAAACAAACACTTATTTACACAAAATATAATAGATTTGCTTAAATCTACCTAGCCGCCTAGGCGCTAGGCCCCAGTTCAATGCCCGACTAGCGCCTAGCACCTTTTAGAATCTTGCTTGTACTACGGTCTAGTAATATTTTTCTTCACTTGTAATAATACATAATTAGCAAATAATTTATTTAAGAGGAAATTATCAAGAAAAATTACACCTTAATAATTGTATATTGAGACAACACTTTTTAAACAGTACAAAGAGAGATAAAAGTTAATACATGTGGAATATGACATCATTGGATTTTTTTTTTCTCGTAAGTTACGAAAATATCCTATATAGTTATAAAGGTTTTTAACACTTCTATCTCCTTCATTTGTTACTCCCTTCTCGCTTTCTCTCATAGCCGCTACTACCTTCGATCGCATCCCGCATGGCCTGCTCGTTATCAGGTAAGGAATCCAATTAAGGTGTTTAATTTGTTTATCCTTTACACTCTCGGTGGATGGTAGATGAAAGTGAGCTCCGTGTCATTCCACAGAAATGGTCGATGGCTGGTTGAACTAATTTTAATAATAAAATGATACAAACTGATTTGGCATATAGTTTCAAAACTGTTTGCATATAGTTTCAAAACTGATTTTGCAGAAATAATCAAGGATGGGTTGAGCTTATGACACATTAATTTTGTTGGAGTTGTGACGGTCGAGTTCTATTAACAACCTTGAAGCCTTAGGGGTATGAATGATATTTTAAAACATTATTTCCATTTTTTTGGGCTAGGATTTTAGTTGTTTTTATATTGCTGTCTCTCCTTAACATGTTTAAAAACTAATGTAGTTCATTGAAATATAATGAAAGTTGTTGTCAGTTCTATGCTCTCTTAATATATTAATATAAAAAATTATATTGGTATCTTTGATTATATTAAATCGTAGATAATTATTGTTAAATTGTAGGAAGTATTGGGAAAGCACACTCGCACTGAACGACAAAGTGGCTTTGATATCAAACTGTCATATCCCGACCTGGGCCCCAACCACATCCAAGGCTCGATCCACCGTAGCATGATATTGTCCGCTCTGGGTCCCGACCACGCCCTCACAGTTTTGTTTTTTTAGGAACTCACGCGAGCAGAACTTCCCAATGGGTCACCCATCCTGAGAATGCTCTCACACGCTACTCGCTTCAGAAGCCAGTGACCTCCCAAAAGGCCTCGTGCTAGGTAGAGATGAGAATATACATATAAAGCTTACAGGATCATCATCCCTGGACGATGTGAGATCTTACAGATTTGATACCCTTCAAACTCAAGACCTGTTGGACTTTAAATGTCACACAAAACCAACAAGTTACTAGAACATATGTCCAATGGGTTTTGACTCTATCATATATGTGCGACTCACATGTATTAAATAGTGTAGTACTACCTTGAAGCATTTCCACAATGCTTGAAAATTTCCAGTTACTATGTTGTACGGCAAACTGAAAGGATAAACTTTTCAACGATGCATCCAATCATACAAATAAATTGCTAAGAAATTTGTATACCTTGAGAAACAAGTAACAAAATCACATCCATAATGAAATTCATGCATGGAAGAAATAATAATGGAGGCATGAAGAGACACAACAAATCTTACTTCTTGGTTCAGTGACTTCACCATAACTGTATTGTCTTCAAATTTATTAATTAACATTTGGGTCAAAAACCCCTAAAAGGAGCTTCAACTTATGGGAACTATCACTGGTACAATTAGGGACAAATTTCATGCTCGTATTCAACAAGTACATTTTGGATTCGATTTTTAGTGTTAGTCAATCACACAATGATGGTCAGAGGAACGTTGAAATGCCTCTGTGAGTTTTTCTGTTCCCAAAGTGGACTGCTGTAGTGAAGCCACCCAGGTGGTGCTTTAAAAAAAAAAAAAAAAAAGATTTAGAGAAAAAGAAAAAACTTGAACTTCAAGGGCTTTTAACAGAAATTGGACATGCCGATTCACCCCTAAATTATATCGGTTTTTTTCCTCGGGTTGGTTTCGGGTCTTAAGGACACGCGGGACAGAATATCAAGGAGGGGTATAAGTGTCATTTCATCAAGAACCGCCATTATTCTTCTATAAAAGCTGGTATTTTCTTCCACGGTCAGCTGTAGATCAACAATAACCGCTTTCAAGCAACCACCTTTCTTCTTCTAACTGCCATGGATTCCGCTTCGTGCTTATTTCTCCGAGCTCAGCCCTTTTCTTCTGCCGCCGCCATTTTCCCGCCAAGTAACAACAACACTGCCCGCTTCTTCGCCCTCCCGAAGAACAACCGCAACCCCAACTTGGTCCCTCTATTTTCCTCCACTTTCCCAAGAAACCCAAATTTTCCCGGAAAATGTCTGCACTTCAATCGGTTCTCTGCTTTCAGCTCTCTCTGCGGCGCTCAGGACCAGAACCCATCTCAGGAGCTCGCTGTTCTTCTCGAAGTCGACGGGTAGGACGATTTCTTTCCCCTTCTAACTCCAAGCATTTCTACTCATTTTTGTTTTTTTTTCACATTTTCTTGCTTATTTGATTTCTTTTTCGTGTTTTAGTGGTTTCCTTGAAGCTGTTTATTGTTGCATTGTTCGAATTGGACTTGAGTTTTCTCGGAGACCTTGTTCTTGATGATTCCCTTTGTTTCTTTCAGGGTTCTTATGGATGCTTATCTGTTGGGGAACCGCCAAAGCTTCAATGCAGGTGTGAAAATGCAGTAATTTAATCCTAATGTATTAAATTTTCTTATTAACTTGCGTTTTATGTGTTAATCTTACTCTGTTATCTTATGATATATTGGCAGCATTTAAGAAGCTCGGACATCACTGTACAAATTGGACAGAGCCTGTTTACTTGGACCTCCTAAGGTAGGATATTAAAATTATGAGTAAAGATTCATGAATTTAGACTATTTATATGGTTTGTTGTTCTTTTAAGTTTTTTATTTGGTTTCTTGTTCTTTAAGTTATTTCGTAGGCTTGAAATCATGATTCATGACTTTGCTTCAATCTAGCATGAGTCAATTGAATAACATTTCCGAGTGTGTATCTGGGTCGTAAGAGTTTTTTGATATGGATAGTCACAAGATTCTGACCCAGATTACTTGTTCCCTTTACAGTCATGATTTGCCTTATTTTCCAAAAGTTCTTAAATGCAGTCTATGTTAATCTTTCAGGAAGAGTGCTGGTGATGAGGAAAAGATGGTGAATTTGTATTTTAATCAGGTGTGTTACTCTTTGTTGTCTTTGAAACTTTCCTTTGTTATGTATCTTTTTCTTCTGAATCTACTATAATCTGTCTTGCAGATCGGTTGGCCTAGTTCATTGCCGACAACTGAGAAGGAGTCATTTGTGAAAAATGTCCTGCAAAAGAAGGTACAGTCTTATTCAGTGCTTGAGTTAGGTTTTAGAGATGCATCTCAACATTTTTAGTATATAATTACTTTTACTTTGCTGCATGGATTAGTTTTGCTGGTTTGGTAGGATTGTTTCAAAGCTTAATGTGCAGCATTGCATCGGAAAGTAGGATATACACAAAAGGAAATGTTAGTTTTTGAATCAATATAGTTATGTGTTACTAAGGAATAAAAATGTTAATCACTATATTTTGCTGGTTTGGGAGGAATTTATAATTCCAAGGCTAATGAGGAATCTGTTTTCAGTTAATCACCATATTTTTCCAGGGTAGGTGAGGGCTGATTTAAAACCAACAGAAACAGCTGCAAACTCATTTCACTTAGCTAATATTAATTTGTTTTTGACAGAAAATTGCAATGGATGAGTTTCTGATGTCAGAAAGTTTGACTTTACGACCTGGAGTTGAAGAGTGAGTTTTTGATCTGATTACAGAAAACTTAAGTGTTGACCAAAACCATGTCAAAACCTCTTTATCAGTACTCATTTGGTCATTCTTGGCTTCAGCTATACTTTTCTACCAACATTTGGAAATTTTGCCAAATAACAACCGGACAAGCAAAAACTTACAGAAAATTTACAGATGAACTGATGAACTGATGAACTGATAGTCTAGATAAACTGATGATCCATGGACAAACAACTGATAGACTAGAATTAATCAGTTGACTTTTAGTGGGATTTCATATGCATGTCAGTGGCATGTCTAATTGCACAGTCAGACTCATTTTCTCCTTTCCATTTGCAGGTTTATTGATGATGCATACAAGGAAGGAGTACCTGTTGTCGTACTGACAACCTATAGCAAGAGTGGGAATCAAATTGCTAGGTAATAGCATACATTTTTATTTTGTTAAGTTTCCAGGCGGTTACCAACAATGGTAGAGGACTAAGCTAATATCTATTTCTTTCTGATGAATACTTTCTACTGCTTCATAAAATACTGTGGTGCATTGTTCTATTCTGATTTAAAAAATCTCATTTCTGGTACCCCATCAATGGTAGAGGACTAAGCTAATATCTATTTCTTTTTGTAAATGTCAGATCAATTGTTGAAAAGCTTGGCGAGGAAAGAGTTTCGAAGCTAAAGATTGTCGGAGATAAGGAGGTGTTACAGAGTTTGTTTAACCAACTAGTAAATGATATAGCATTATCTTCTGGTATGGATGGGCAACTATCTAAGGAGGCAATAAAAGCAGGTAGACTCTTCATCTTCGTTAATTAGTCATGTATATGTTTTGTGATATACATTTTTCCAGTACAGAAGGTTGGGTACTAAAGGGCTCTGTTATTGATTTCTGGGCCAGTTTCTGCTGAGAAAGAAAGGATTTTTAAGGAGCTTGCATTATTGCTAAAGCTGATTTTAGATATTGATACTCGCCCGCCTGAAAGGTTAGCATATCTCATTTCGTTTTATTGTTTGTTATTGTTAATTCGGCACCTTCAGAATTGATTCTGCTTACATTAAACTAGGAAGAGATTATGTACCAATTTGTCCCGTTTGTGAGGTTATGCATGTATGATTCAGCACTCAACTTAAAGAGCGATTTCATATATCTAATATTTAAACTAGGAAGAGATTATGTTCCTCTCCTTCTTTTCTTAGCTGTGGCATTGACTTTTCTTGATCTCAAACGTTAGTATTTCAGCGTCATATAGCCCATTCTTTCTCACACTCTATGACCGAGTAGTGTAATATATTTTCTAACGGACTTTCTTGTTTGCTTTGGCGTGTTAATTGTTTTCTGCCAGCTTAGAGAAGATCATTGTTGCATTGCAAGCCGGGGCAGAAGTTGCTGGACTACCTGTATGCGATTGTGTTCTTATTGCAGGAAGCCAGTCTGGTGTGGCTGGAGCTGAGCGAGTGGGCATGCCATGTGTTGTTTTAAGAAGCAGGTGAAGGCTTTTTTGAGTTGCTTGGAACAAACTCCTGCCAGTTTACAACTTTAAATCCTTGTTATTGAATCAAGTTTTTTCATGTATTCCTGTAGTTTGACGGCTAGAGCTGAGTTCCCTTCGGCAAATGCGATAATGGATGGGTTTGGAGGAGCAGAGCTGACCATCCCTAAACTGCGCAACAAGAGACGGTCATGAAATCAAATCATGTTCCTAAACTGCGCAACAAGAGATGGTCATGAGATCAAATCATGTTCCTCTTTTTGCCAGACAATTAACTGAGCTGTAAATTTTTCTTTCCATTCGTTGATATGTCGGAAGATTCATCTCCCGTAGAGGGATCTTACAAAGTTAGAACAGAATTAGAGCCGTTAATCTCGATACTCTATAATTTCTTCAGCTTGGAGCTGTTTTAGTTGCCTTGTAATTTTTTTAAGCCACAGTTTGCAATATAAGAGCTGATCCCTTATAAAATGTACATCGTCTGAAGTAGCTTTCACAACATTGTTGGCGAGTCTTTTCTTTCAACATGACCCATAATTGTTGGCACTGTACAGAATTAGAGTGCTAAACAGAATTAGAGCTGTTTTTAGTTGGCTGCTTTGTAACATTTTTAAGCCACAGTTAGCAATAGAAGAGTATGAAGTCAACTTTTATAATCTAATGTGTACCTTCAACTAGGAGGAAGCTTTTCTATTCTTGCACAACAAACTTTTCTATTCTTGCAAACTTTCCTATTGGGGAAGACGGATTTGAACTCGAGTGAATGAGAGAATGCTCTTAACCAATTTAGCTACAAGCCAAACAAATTAGAGTACTAACAATAAACATGATTGGACATGGAACAAAAATATCGTGTACAAGAAATACAATCGAACATTAAACTACTAATTCTAACTGATTCCAATAAATCAAATCTAGTATTGATAAATAAATAAAGACTTGTGGGAGTCCGAAAATTGAGAGAGCCACATTAGCCACAACCCGAAAATTGGGATGAAATTAAGTTAAATAGATTTTGTTGGTCAAGTAAGGTAGTTAAATGTTAATATTGTGTATCTTTGAGTCATTGAAACGATTATTTGTTGTGATTGTGGAGTTATGTTGGAAAACATTGTAATGTAAGTGGATGACAAAATGACAATCCTGGTCGTCATATGGTTTTGTTATGTTGTTTGGAATCTAATGAGTCATGCTCGCTAAGTTCCATTGGGTGATTCAAAAAGTGTAAGATAAGAGTTGATTCGTTATACCATGTAAGTAGCTTTCACAACTTGTTTCTAAGTATTTTCTTTAAACATGTCCCACAATTATTGGCACTATACCTGACACGCCTGACCCTGATATTCACCAAACACTAGGGTTGGCACATGTTGGCTGATATTAGGATGCATGAGAACTAAGAACAATTAACCTATATAAATAAAACTTGTAAACTTAATTGTAATGAATATGTAATTATGAAACGTGTTCAGAGCATACAACTAATCCAAGATACTAAAAGGGAATAAAATAAAATTGAATGAACAAAGAGATGGGTCCTACACAGAGAGGACTCGAAGATGCCGATGTGGAGTGCCTTGATGCTCGGATTGTATGCCTTGATTCTAAGTCCAGAGGGGGCGCAAAACAAAACATGAGTGGACCAAGTGGATATATAAGTAATACTAACATAGTTATTCAACAAGTACTAACCCCCAAAGTTTATGAAAACTCATATAGCATAATAAGTAATAGGTTTTCCGAAAACCCTAGCATGCCATAAAACCTTTCATAAAACATATATAATATAGTGTGCTTAGTAATGGTATCAGTATCGCCCAAAGCCATATAGAACTCTTCATTCACCCGAAGGCATATAGAACACTTCATTCAAAATACTTCATTTAGAACACTTCATTCAGAACACCTCATTCGCCCGTAGACTCCTACAGCACCCACCCGAAGGCATATAAGTATCAATCGCCTGTAGGCTCCTACAGCACCCACCCGAAGGAATATATGTATCAATCATCCGTAGGCTCCTATAGCACCTACCCGAAGGCATATATAGAAGTATCATTCGCCCGTAGGCAGTATCAATTGCCCGTAAACAGGACCATTCGCCCGTAGGTAGGACATTCGAATAACTACTAAGTACATAAAAACATTAACATAATATTTCTAACATATATATATATATATATATATCTAAATCGGAGTTCAATATAAAACGTCATATGGCAAAACCACATTGACAAGTATGTATATAGTCATCAATCATATATACCACAAGGAACGTAGAGTCGATAAAGCATGATAATCATAAAGCGTGAAACCAATTTACTGATAAACGTTTCATAAAACGTAGCCATTAAATCATGTTTTTCATGTATGTATTTCTAATAGTAAAAGGGTCCACTCACAGATAATTCACCGTCGAATAGCTGTGTAAATTAGCGAGACGGAAATGCCATAAACAATTGCACCTAAGCACATAAAGGTACCAATTAATAAAACTTTATCATAACGATTGGATTTCGAGAAACGAACGTCGAAAACGATTTCAGGACATCGAAAAACATAAGGGGGGACCTCGGGTACCCCTAGGCGCCGCCGCACACGCCGCCACGGGGTGGCAACCCGAAACGCCACACGCCGATTTGGGTCACCGAAAAAGTCACCAACGCCGTTGTGGACGGTGACAGAGCACAGTATCTCCAGTGGAGGCGTGTGTAATCCATGCGTCGGCCAAGACAGGCGCCTACACACGACCTGGGTTCTAGGATTCGACTAGGTCTGGGTGGAATTTGGGTTTTAGGCCGCAAGGTTGGGCCTGAGTTCAATTGGTTTGGGCTTAAAGGGCCAAGGTCTGGGGCGAGGTTCTTGGCCCAAAGACCAGGGCTAAGGTTCTTGGCCTAAAGACTTAGGCCGGTTTCAACTTGGGTTTTGGGTCGAGACATTTGGGTTGGGCTAGGCACCAGGGCCTGGGCCCAGGTTTGGGACTTTGGGGTAAATGGGTTTGGGCTGGTCATTGGACCTAGTTCCATGGCCCTCGAGTTGGGTCAGTTAGGGTTGTGGGCCGGGTTTAACCCGTTCTCAGGCCAGTTTCGACGGAGAAGAAAACCAAAGCTTCCCAAGCTCCGATCGACCTTGATTCTCAACCATTTTAAAGGATTTAAAAGCAAAAATGAAGGTAGGGAGATAATGAATAAGATTGTACGTTCGTGGTCTCTTGCCGTGGTCAGAGTTGGCCAGGAAGTGACCTGGAACTCACGGTATTCTCGTCGGAAAACCGGGGAGTGTTTTTCCCCTTGAGTTCTATGTTGAGGGCTAGTCGAAAGAGGAAGTGCACAGTAGCGCCGTCCACGGTGCATAAGACACGGGTAGGTTGCTGGTGTCCCTTCGTCGTTCCAGGTTTTGTGGAACACACAAGGCCAAAAGGTGATGCTAGTGAGTGGAGTCAGAGAAAGGAGAGAGTTTGCAGAGAATGAGGGAGAGCTCGGGGGAGTATGAGAGAAAGTGAAGGGGGAAAGAGAGAGTGAGCCACGGGGAGAGGGAGAGAAGAAGAGGAGAGTGGGCTGAAGGGAGGACAACACCAAGGTAAGTGGGCCCCACGGGCACACACATTAAGATCCAAAAACAATTTTAAAAATAAATATCCCAAACTTAGTGAAATTACAAAAATACCCTTTCTTTCTGTAAATTCTGAGATGGATTATTACAATATCGGTGTGATTAAGGTCATTTTCAAAGAAACCTAATTTGGAGTTAATTCTCAATAGAAAGTAGTAGTTCAATTTTTGCTCCACCACATTTCTAGCAAATTTACTCAAATCTTGTACCATTACGTTGCATGTATTCTCCACCATACCCAAACGCTTTGTCTGCTTGACTGGTTAAAGATGCAACAACTTGTTCCTAGGGTCAACATATTATAAAAAGTTTCCCAAATAAGTTAGTTTTGTTTATTTTAATAAAACGATATGGTTTATGCTAAGGGATGGAGAGATTTTACGGCTAAGTCACACAATAACCAAGTCATAACAAATTGGTATGAAAATCGTCATCTACAAGAGCCAAACTTAAGAATTCGCACTTATAAATGAAGAGAAATATCACTATATTGTACTAATCAACATACAATTTATTTAATAATTTTATAAAATGAAACACACAAAACTGACTACACTGAGTTTAGTCTCTAATAGAAGTTAACCCTATCATTGCTCATACACTATCTAATAGTCTTTAATAGAAGTTAATTAATCAGTGATTTGATGCCCGTCAAACTCAAGATCTTTCAGACGGGTTAGACGCTAGCAAAACCAACAAGTTATTAGAAGACCGTTTCTAATGGAGTTTGACTCTACTATATATTAGACAATGTGTAATATTTTACCTCACATTTGACCTCCAATTCTGACAACTTTGCACTACAAACTTATGATGCATGTACATCTGTATCACCTTGAAGCCTTTCCACAATGCTTGAAAATTTCCAATTACTACATTGTACGGCAGCATCTGAGAGGATAAACTTAGCATGGTTAATTCGATGCATCCAATCATGCAGATGAATTTCCAACAGGAATGTAATTGTTAAGAAATTTGTATGCCTTGAGAAACAAGTAACAAAATCACATCCTTGAAAAAATTCATGCAAGGAAGAAAGAATGCAGGCACGAAGAGATGCAACAAATCTTTCTTCCGGGTTCAATTACTTCACCGTCAATTTAAACCCTTCAAAAGTTGGCTAGGGAAGGCTTGAATGACTTTGTGAGTCCTTTCGACAATTGAGAAGTCAACTACCGTGATGAAGTCACTAGATGATTCTTATAAATAATAATAAATAAATAAATAAATAAAAAGCTTGAACTTCATGGGCTCGGGTTGGTTTCCGGTCGTGAGACACCCGAGACGGAAAATCCAGCAGGGATATAAGTGTCATTTCACTATGAACCGCCATTATTCTTCTATAAAAGCTGATACTTTCTATAAATCAACAATAACCGTTTTCAAGCAGCCACCTTTCTTCTTCTAACTGCCATGGATTCCGCTTCGTGCTCATTTCTCCGAGCTCAGCCCTTTTCTTCTGCCGCCGCCATTTTCCAGCCAAGTAACAACACCACTGCCCGCTTCTTCGCCCTCCCGAAGAACAACCGCAACCCCAACTTGGTCCCTCTATTTTCCTCCACTTTCCCAAGAAACCCAAATTCTCCCGGAAAATGTCTGCACTTCGATCGGTTCTCCGCTTTCAGCTCTCTCTGCGGCGCTCAGGACCAGAACCCATCTCAGGAGCTCGCTGTTCTTCTCGAAGTCGATGGGTAGGACGATTTCTTTCCCCCTTCTAACTCCATGCATTTCTACTAATTTGTGTTTTTTTTTCTTCTTCACATTTTCTTGGTTCTTTGATATCTTTTTCGTGTTTTAGTGGTTTCTTTGAAGCTATTTGGTGCTGCATTGTTCGAATTGGACATGGGTTTTCTCGGAG